TTTGACCTTAGAACTGAAGAAGCTTCTCGGATGAGAGGTGAAACGTCTTCAAGCAACTTAAAGAAGTCCAGACGCTTTTCTTTGCAAGCTCCTTTGACTATGAAACCGGTCATTTTTGCCTATTTTTATAATTCCAGAAATTTGAGAAGAAATATAACAGCGAGCTGGCGAAGGGTGCTGTCTCCAAAGAAACAAAGTTTGAGTATGCTTGGTGTTTGATCAGGAGTAAATACTCACAGGATATCAAGAAGGGGATTGTACTTTTGGAGGGTAAGTCCACCCACTGCACCTTATGTACTTATAATGTTATTACTTTTCTGTTGGCTAACAGGATTGTTGCAAGTGCCCCTTGCGGTGTACTGAAAATCCAGATAGCTTGAGTCATCAAAGTAGCTTCCTTTTTACCTCGTTAAATCACCATCGCAACTGATGCTGAACACATAACCAGGGCCCTGCACTACAAAGCGAGTTCAACATAGCTAGGATTTCTTTCAGCTATCAGGATTCACTTATCCTAACTTTGGGAATCAGGATAAACGGTTACAGGAAGCTGGTTATCAACTCGTAAAATTAACCAGAGCTTTCCCTCGCACCACAAAATAATGTAACTGTAGGAACTAAAATTATAGAAATGTCCTTGGATTGTAGACTTGGTATAGGTTTCCTGATGACTCTTTTCCGTTGACGCAGTGCTGATGCTGTACTTATTCAGTTTGGACTTTTTTGAGAACCAGCCCACAGTTCAACATGAGCATGTATATTGCTGCAGTAGTTAAGTCCAGCTTCTTTCATTTAAGAAAACTGGCAAAGGGGACACCTGTCCTTTCATCTGGAGACTGTAATAGCTACTTTTATTATGTCTCAGCTTGATTATTGTAATGCCCTTAATGTTAGAGTTACCCATTCTTCCCTATCGACTCGATATTGGCGCAGAATGCTGCTGTGCTGTGCTGTGGGCACATTACACCTATTCTGGCTGCCTATGCACTCTAGAGCCCAAGTTCTTGTATTTGTTTTTAAATCCTTAAATGGTCTAGGCCTGTCTTTATTCCCACCCTCCTGTCCGAGCTCTCTGGTCATCTGACGTGTTGTTCCTATGTGGATAAATTGCCTTTTCACATTAGACAGTCAGCTACGTGTCCATTTCAAAAACCCATGTTAAAGCACATTTATATTCTCTGACTTTCTACCCAGCATGTGACATACATCTCTGCTTGTTTTTATTGTTTTATACTTGCTTGTTTTTATTGCAGTTTTTAGTGGTACTGTCTTCACTTCATTTTAATTTCATTTTTATGTACAGCACTCGGTGTCTTCTACGACTGTTTTTAAAGTGCTTTATGAATAAAGTTGGTACGCTATGGACTGTTTCAAACTGATAGTTTAATCTTTTGTTTGGTTTTTGTCGTTGTTTAACTACATTGTTAATGGACATCGGTATACAAAAACTGTAAGATGGAAACTGTGAGCCCAGGCAGGTCACTTCAAAACTTTACAGTAAACAAAGACTTGATAAGTTAAAAGTGGGAACAGAGCTGGTTTAGTTTCAGCCGTTGTTTAAGCTGAGCCTTAAATGTGTGATAAGTTGAGCGCTCCGTTATTCCCATTGATAGACTCTTCCTGTAATTGGTTAGTATTTTGAGTAGTAACAGCACATTTTGTCCAAATTTAGTGAACCTATAAATTACTTCACAGTCCCCTCTAGTGGTGGCCCTAGTGCTAAACCCACAGTCTGTGCTTGCACTAATAAATAAAGGAGGTTGGCATGTCCATGTAAAATCTTATCCATAAAACAGTCAATTTTTAACATTATTAAAACTCAGGGATTTGTCATCAACACAGCAAAAATATTCCAATCTTCAAATGGGAATAACTTTTAATCAAGAATTTTTGTGGAGGTTTTTTCCTTTTTTTGTAAGTAATGAGTCTATTGATTTAAGTGTTGTTTCAGCTGTTAACGATAAGGTATTGAAATGACAAGCAATGCAAATAAAAGGATTGTACAGTCTAAGCTGCGGTGACCATCAGAGTCTAAGTTGCTGCTGGATTGCCCCTGCGGGGGTCCTGGAGCCCGGAGCTGGGTGAGTGTGTGTGCGTACAGGTCTGTGTGTCTCCATGTTGGGTGAGTGTGTGAGTATTTTCATATGTGTCTTTGAGGGTGGGAATGCATGTTTCTATCGGGTCTTAGACTCCACCTCTCTCAGAACATCTCCCCCCCATACTCCCTGCCAGCTGCTGGTGCCCCCGCCTGCTGGTGCACTGATGGTTCTCGGTGCTCGGGTGTGTACTGGCTCACTCTCGGCTGTTGCCTCTTAACATTTTATGCATTATTAGCACTGTATGCTGCTCAGTAACATTCAATATTTTTATTTACTGTTACTGATGCTCATGTTGGTTGTTGCTGTGGTTTCCTACTGTCTTTTTGTTTGATTTTTCTTTTTTCTTTTTTGGTTGTTGTTGTTTTTTTCCTCTCCTTTCTTATAAAAAATAATAATAATAATGATAATGATGAGTGTCATCAGTGAGTCATTGCGGCAGCTCCTCCTGCGGTCGCTGAGGTCAGCGTCTCCAACTTTGGAACCAGCAATTTTGTGGTCTTTTTCTTTCTGTATAAATGGGTGGAACTGGTTTTGGATTAGGCACTGGTGCTGCGTCACTGGAAAAGCTCAGCACAGCCAGCTCCATTACCTGCACAGTGATTATTCTTGTAACTTGTGACTTTGTGGCTTCCGTGTGTTTTCAGCTTTCCTGGTTTGAATCAGTGTGTTTGTTTGTTTGTTTGTTTGTTTTTCTCGTAGAACTGGTTCAGAAAGCATCAAAGGACGACTCCCGGGACTTTTTGTTCTACCTTGCAGTGGCCAACTACAGACTCAAAGTGAGTGGCACCTGTTTCTTCTCAGTTCAGGTTTATGGGAGACAAAATGAAGAAACAGACCTGCAGAAATCTCTGCTTTTGTATCACGCTGCTTTTGAGCTTCGGATAAGAGAGAGGGCAAAGGTCAAATCTGACAGACAGAGCAAAATATTTCTCTCTCTGCCTTTACCTCTTACTTCCTGCTCCTCCCTAAAAGCATGTCATCTTACTCATTGGTTCGCATTTACCGAGGGTTTTTCTAATTGGTTTAATCCTAAAGTACTGCTGAGGCATGGTTACATACACTAATAGGAAAATGTTTCCTTAACACACCCAGTTCTCTGTAAAAGAAATGTCCTCACTTGTATTTCAGTACCATAATGTGCTCCTCTCTGACCTCCTACTCACCGTACTTGGAAGATAACTAATCAGACCTTCAAAGTCTGCAGGTCACAATGAACTCGGTCTCTTCCGTGTTACCTTTTGCACAATGAGCGTACATGAACGCCTTTTACCTGACGATCTTCAACACATGACGGGTTTCTTTCATGCTTGCCTGCGTGAATAAAAATGTCCTTTTTAATGATGCCAGAGAGACATGCCATTTAATGAATCTGTGGAAAAGTTTTGCCACTGAAGCTGGCGGTTACCCTGCGCGCATTCCCAACGAGCCAATCAGCAGCTGAAGCGGTAAACAAACGAACCAATCACAGGCATGCAGTGAGAGCTTCATGACCGTTTGAACTGTGTGGTGGACATAAAAAGACGCAGATAAGCACACTTATTGGTATCCTTGGTTTGCCGTATCCGTTACATGAATCAGCATTTGTTTCGAGTGATCTGGAGGGATGACGTCGATCATGGCGGCACATTCAATGGAGGAGCGTTGTGTAACCTGGATGTGGATAGCAGGAGGAGAAAAAAACGTTTTTAGACCCTTTATTATGGAGCAAAGTCCCACTGACCACAGCAATTACTGCCATGGCTCTATCTCCCCATTAATTTAGATAGCCGCTTGGAGGTGTTACAGGGGTGGCTGTCGAGTGATGAGAGCTGCTTTTGGAAGGACTTCCGTAAACTAGACTTTCTCTTCTTCCTCCAGGAATATGAAAAAGCTCTCAAGTATATCCGCATTCTCCTAAAGAACGAGCCGGGGAACAAGCAGGCTCTGGAGATGGAGAAGCTCATCGACAAGGCTTTAAAGAAAGGTAAGAAAGAGGCGCTAAATGGTTTCATAATAAAAGCGCTTGTGTTTTGAAAACTACATCCTGACCTTTTACCTCTTGATATCTAGATGGCCTTGTCGGCATGGCGATCGTCGGGGGAATCGGCCTTGGCGTGGCCGGCTTAGCGGGCCTCATCGGCTTGGCCGTGTCAAAAGGAGCTGCCAAATCCTAACTTGGGTGTGAGTGGGAACGTGGATGTTTTTTCTGGACTCACACACTGACCAGCCTGCATAAAAATAAAGCTTTTGTACTAAAAGCTTGGAAGACGTAGAATTCTGATTTGAGGGTGAAATTAAACTGCGTTATTTAAAAGATTTGAATATTGCCAGCTGTAACAGGGGTGAAAATCGTCGTACATACATTTGTTGACACACTAATAACCTGTCACTTCCTCATTTGTCGTTTAAACAAACTAGAATAGGAGACGTGTTGTTTAACCCTTATATAATTTTTATACTGTGCACCTCAGCCCAAATATTTACAGCTTGTAAAAAGAAAGTTTGTCCAGATGCATGATTTTGCTTCAGTTGTTGTTCGTTGCATTGATTTTTGAAGCGTTACAGAAAGTGTTACTGATGAAGCGGAAAGTGAAGCTTGTAATCCTGTAATGAGGGAAGAGAATCATTTGTTTGATGGTGACGTCTCGGTGACTCTGCCATACTTCTGCTGCTGCTGCTGAGGAGGCAGTGAGCAGATGTTTGCATTTATTCTGGACATGCAGTTTCTTAAAGGGATGCAGCTCTTATAATGGAAATTAAACTGTTTTATGTTGTGTAAAAAGCATTTCCTAACATTAATATTAATGGGTTGTTTTCCATCTCTATTAATAAAATGATTTTCAAATGAGAGATTTGTGTTGTATGCTTTTGATATCTCAGAGTAACACACACACACACTACTGTTGAGTAAAAGCTATACTTTAAATTCTTTTGCAGCACAAGTAGCACAAATAAGCATTTGATTACATGGAGTCTTCATTATAATAAGAAGATATTAAAACATTGAGCAATGTATTTATATGGATAAATACATTGTAATGAAATGAAATTAAGAAAAGTCAAAATCTGAATTTTACATAGTTAGCATAATTAGCCTATGTTGTTTGGGATATGTATTCACAAGTCACATTTTAATTGTACGTTGAAGCCTTTTATTCACCTGACATCCACGAACAGCACACAATCACCAGTTATCTAACACCTATGTCTGTGGGAGGAAGCTGGATTGCCCTCGCAGAGAAATCCACGCAGAAAGGATCTAAACGGCATTTAGACCAAGCACCTCAAGCAGTGACTGCACTGCTGTGCTTTAAAAAAGAAAATAATAATACTTGAATCAAATAATTAAATTAATCTACAAATGACTCAAAATTCCTTTTATAAAATTGAACGCAACGTTAAAAACATGTTATATACTTTTGAAGCTTTTTTCATATTTACTTTAGAACCTGTTTAATATGTATGTATAATCTTTTTATTCGTTTGCTATTTGATAATGAACCGATAATCTGACATATGCGATATTGCGCAGTGGTGTTCCCATCACTGCCACGCATAACACACACAGATCAACAAACACGGTGAACACAGCAGCTGTGAGCGCGGTGTCAAAGCTGTAGGTCCCGTCCAGTCGAGTCACCGGCTCGCTCCCCTGACGATTCCCGGTCCACCTGACTGGTTTGTTAAAGAGCGGGAGCGCGCGCACGCAAGCTTCCTCACACACCAAATGAACTTGAACGCATTTATCTCCCGAACTCCTTATTACCACAAGGCATATTTATGTTCACACGTCCCTCAGTATTAACGCCTGAAGTCCACAACAGGCTCCGTGTCAGATTTTCCTTCCTGCTTCACCTTTGCGCACTTTGGCGCATCAGTCAACAGAATCTATGTAAAGCTCGGTGTTCTTCTGCACCCATGCTGCTCGCGGGGTTATATAAAGGACCTGTTTGTGCTCCATCAAAACTGTCAGGGCTTTATTGAGATGAGAGCAAGATGTCATTCTATTTTATAGATTTATGGGACTGGTGTTGCATAGGTGTCAAAAAGATTCCATTTCCAAGAGCTCTTTTGTTTAACACGGCAAGAGATTTTCAGTAGGCTACAACATTTAAGTCACAACACCGTCTTAAATCAACCAAACTCTGATTTGCATTAAAATGAAAATTGCTGTGAAATTTTAGCTTCACATATTAAATACTTTTCCAGCTGATTTTTTTTAAATTACCGAATCAATCAACCGATAATATATTGAAAATATGAAAGAAGACCGGCACTCCTGCAAAGTCCCATATTCAAGAACACATTAATTAAAAACAAACAAACAAACAAAACAAAAAACCTTCAAAGTTGCAAAAGACAACTTGTGACAATTTTAAATGATAAACACTTGAATTACTCAATACTGTAAAATTAGACAATTTTTTTTAACATTACATTTTTAGTCACAAAAATGAAGAAAACTTTTATTCACCTTTCTTATTTTCTGCTCTGCTCTTTGCAAAAAACATGTGATGGTCCATAGTTTGAATGTACAGTAGGCTACATAATAATTGCCGTTCAATTTAGCGTCATATATGTATTAGAATTAAAGGCGTGTTTTTTGTTTTTATGACATACAATGTTTATATCGTTTTTCTTGCACATTAAAATCAGAGGCAGTAATGGAAAATGCTTGTTTCAAAAGATAAACTATTAAAGATGAAAGCCTGAAATGTTGAATTTTCTCACCATCAAAATAAAACGGGGTCTTTAATGTGGGACTCGTGCATCAACAATGTCTGCGTATTGGCTTATTAAAATATGTAGTCCTGCATATTTGAGCGCACAATTTCTGAATAGTAAATAGTTCACTGCACTATGATGCTAAAACAAAAGATAGAATGCTTTTAAACATCGATTTATTAGTCACAAAAATGAAGAAAATGCTATTTTCATGAAGGATCGAGCAAATAGTACAAAATTCTGGAGTTTCTACGCCTGTAAGTACAACTGGGAAAATTTCCTATAATGAAGAGCACCTCCCTTTCTTCAAGGCACCACCCACGCTCCTGTCATTGTTTCACTGATTTCATAAAAAGTGGGTCCTAACTGATGCAGATACTGTTTTATTAAGGTCCAGCATCACTCCAACACAAGACAGCTTATAATCTAGACATGGTTTGGGATGAAGAAGAACTGAATGGCTTTAAAACACACGGTGTAAGCGTTTCTACAAGGAAACAGGAGCCAGGATTCTGTAACACTGTAGCATTTTTCCTACCATATCCATAAAGACCAATCGATAAATCAAAGTCCAATATGAAACCCCATTCTTATCAATGTCATTTATTAACTGTTAGATTTACAATGAGGGATTTGGTGCACACAATGTGACAGCTTGTATTGTGATCTCTGAGAGTTTAACCCACGCACGAGTTCGCTCACTCTCGATCATCCTCATATCTTGACCCTCGGAGAGATTCAAACAGTCAACATCTTTTTACAACGGGGAGGTTTATGGAGGCTATGGTTTATGTGCCGCGTTATCAGCGCGGTGGGATGTTACTTATTAACCCGGGTGAAAGGACCGAAACTCGGATCGGCCTGAGAAAACAATCATTTTCTCTGGTGTAAAATAGATGATCATTTAGGTAAACAATTAGATAAAACCATATCTGAAGAAACACATATCCAAACAGAGGAGCAGAAAATAGACATAATGTCTAACTGACCCCCGAGCTGTCTCCAGCCTCTTCCCACGCGCAGTTTAAACACACTTAAACATCAATGATTCATCAGAGGTGGTGTAATTCAGCTCAGCTTCAGTGCGTCTGAGGGCCAACGTCCGTCAAGTACCCAGCAGGTTTAACACAGATACTAATGTTTAATCACCGCGAATGAGCACAGTGTAGAGGCTCGCTTACCCCCCGCTGTGCAGGTGTAACTACACTGGAAATTAAGGTTGTTGTATAATCCAGTTAAACAGCTGATTGCGGGCAGACACAAGGAAAGGCGGTACATGTTACTTTTTGTCTCTCTTTTATTGTGCTGTTCACATGTCATATTCATCATAATGTGAAAGTGAGTCTGTCTTTGTATGTGGGCTGTGTCGTGAAACAGAGGCCAGAGGCATCTGCGGGAACAAAGGCTGTTTGTGTCGCAACCGATCACAGAGCGCTCACAACACTTTACAGGAGCGAAGCAGACGTCAAAATGAAGGGTGTCGGAATTATGGAAAAACTCTTAA